GAGGGAGGGAGTGTAGCAGGCAGGCAGGGAGTGTAGCATAGAGGGAGGGAGTGTAGCAGGCAGGCAGGGAGTGTAGCATAGAGGGAGGGAGTGTAGCATGGAGGGAGGGAGTGTAGCAGGCAGGCAGGGAGTGTAGCAGGCAGGCAGGGAGTGTAGCATGGAGGGAGGGAGTGTAGCAGGCAGGCAGGGAGTGTAGCATGCAGGCAGGGAGTGTAGCATGGAGGGAGTGTAGCAGGCAGGGAGTGTAGCAGGTATGCAGGGAGTGTAGCAGGTATGCAGGGAGTGTAGCAGGTATGCAGGGAGTGTAGCATGCAGGCAGGGAGTAAGGCATGGAGGGAGTGTAGCAGGCAGGGAGTGTAGCAGGCAGGCAGGGAAGTAACCCCAGAGAGGGCTTTGATACCTGAAGTCCTTATGGAGGGGAATTCCCCTTCCAAACACTAATCAGCCCTTTCTCTCCCCATAAGCCAAAGGCCAACAAGAGACTTCAATAAAGGTATGTAATAATGACTTAAATGTTCATTTATTTAATTTAGTTCTCATTGTTTTGTGTATGTAAAACTATAATTAATCTTTAAAAAATGTATTTTTTGTTAATATTTTTGGGTGTCTGGAACATATTAATTGTATTTACATTAATTCTTATGGGAAATATTGCTTTGAATTTAGGCTGTTTCGAATTTAGGTTGACCACCTGGAATGGATTATGGCTGAAAAACGAGGTTCCACTGTACTATTGAATTATTTCATGGCTTCCAGTGGCCTGGCAAAACTGGTATTCCAGCAAGGCTTAGGGACCAAGGGTATTGGAAAATTCATGATGTATCTGTATTATCAAACAAAATTATTTTAACTTGATATGATAGTATTAACTAAAAACCCCATTAAATTATAAAAAAAAGATACATGTACTCCTAAAAGTTCCCCAAGGTCTGTACAAGCACCTCAGTACAGGAGGGCCCTGCATATACAGCAACCCTTATTCAGTGTTCCACATTTTAATTGGCTTTCAAGTGAGCTATTGTTCATTATGTTTGCTGCTTTTCTGCCATTTTCATACAATAGTTGTGTCAGGGAAGGGTGAGCGGCACCATATTTTAAGCTAAGTATTGTATGTACTGTGTATTTATTTTAAATTTTTATCCATTTTTTATACCCAGTTGAACTGAATCTTAATATATGATAGTATAAACACTATAAGGTGTTTTAGACACATTCAGTAATGAAAAGTCACTCTTTTTACACCCACTGGCAATTTTCACTTACTGCAACACGGGGTTGCAAATGTAAGACCCATACAAATGGCACCCTCCTGTAATTATAAAAAGTTAAAAAATGCATGATTGACATGGATGCATATCAAATCTCTCACTTTGACAATATTTATACAGCTACCTACACACACACACACACACACACACACATATGAGCTAGTGATCATGTGGTTCTGTGCTTTGACTACATAGATGAGCTCCAAGTGGAGAGAGTAGCAGGAATAGGTTGGGAAAAACCAAACTACAAAAGGGGGAACTACTCAGGCATGAGGAACTTCTTACAAGACATTCAGTGGGAGAGGGAACTGACAGGAAAACCAGTACAAGAAATGATGGACTATGTGGCAACAAAATGCAAGGAGACAGAGGAGAGGTTTGTTCCCAAGGGAAACAGAAATAATAGGAAGAACAGAACGAGTCCTTGGTTCACCCAAAGGTGTAGAGAGGCAAAAACTAGGTGTACTAGAGAATGGAAAAGGTACAGAAGACAGAGAACTCAGGAAAATAAAGAGATTAACCGAAGAGCCAGAAACGAATATGCACAGATAAGTGGGCGAGGGGCTTGGACTTCCAGCAAGTGTGCGTGAGCGTGTTAGATAGGAGTGAATGGAGATGAATGATACTTGGGACCTGACGATCTGTTGGAGTGTGAGCAGGGTAATATTTAGTGAAGGGATTCAGGGAAACCGGTTATTTTCATATGGTCGGACTTGAGTCCTGGAAATGGGAAGTACAATGCCTGCACTTTAAAGGAGGGGTTTGGGATATTGGCAGTTTGGAGGGATATGTTGTGTATCTTTATACATACATGCTTTTAAACTGTTGTATTCTGAGCACCTCTGCAAAAACAGTGATAATGTGTGAGTGTGGTGAAAGTGTTGAATGATGATGAAAGTATTTTTTTTTTGGGGATTTTCTTTCTTTTTTGGGTCACCCTGCCTCGGTGGGAGACGGCCGACTTGTTGAAAAAAAAAAAAAAGAAAAAAAAGAAGGGAGGCTCAGCGACAATATGAAAATGACATAGCATCGAAAGTCAAGTCTTACCCGAAGCTGTTGTACAACCACATCAGGAGGAAAACAACAGTCAAGGACCAGGTAATCAGACTGAGGAAGGGTGATGGGGAGTTCACAAGAAACGACCGAGAGGTATGTCAGGAGCTCAACACGAGATTTAAAGAAGTATTTACAGTGGAAACCAGTAGGACTCCAGGAAATCAGAACAGGGGGGTACACCAGCAAGTGCTGGATGAGGTACATATAACCAAGGAGGAGGTGAAGAAGCTGCTATGCGAACTTGACACCTCAAAGGCGGTGGGACCAGACATCTCTCCGTGGGTCCTTAAAGAGGGAGCAGAGATACTGTGTGTGCCATTAACAAAGATCTTCAACACATCAATTGAAACTGGGCAACTCCCTGAGGTATGGAAGATGGCAAATGTAGTCCCAATTTTTAAAAAGAGAGACAGACATGAGGCACTAAACTACAGACCTGTATCACTAATGCAAGGTCATGGAGAAGATCATCAGGAGGAGAGTGGTGGAGCACCTGGAAAGAAACAAGTGTATAATTGACAACCAGCACGGTTCCAGGGAAGGAAAATCCTGTGTCACAAACCTACTAGAGTTTTATGACAAGGTGACAGAAGTAAGACAAGAGAGAGAGGGGTGGATCGACTTCATTTTTTTGGACTGCAAGAAGGCCTTCAACACAGTTCCTCACAAGAGGTTACTGCAAAAGCTAGAGGATCAGGCACACATAACAGGAAAGGCACTGCAATGGATCAGAGAATACCTGACAGGGAGGCAACAACGAGTCATGGTACGTGACGAGGTGTCAGAGTGGGTGCCTGTGACAAGCGGGGTTCCACAGGGGTCAGTCCTAGGACCTGTGCTGTTCTTGGTATATGTGAACGACATAACGGAAGGGATAGACTCAGAAGTGTCCTTGTTTGCAGATGATGTGAAGTTAATGAGAATAATCAAATCGGATGAGGATCAGGCAGGACTACAAAGAGACCTGGACAGGCTACAAGCCTGGTCCAGCAACTGGCTCCTTGAGTTTAACCCTGCCAAATGCAAAGTCATGAAGATTGGGGAAGGGCAAAGAAGACCATAGACACAATATAGTTTAGATGGCCAAAGACTGCAAACCTCACTCAAAGAAAAAGATCTGGGGGTGAGTATAACACCGAGCATATCTCCTGAGGCGCACATCAATCAGATAACTGCTGCAGCATACAGGCGCCTGGCAAACCTACGGATAGCGTTCCGATACCTCAGTAAGGGTTCGTTCAAGACTCTGTATACCATTTATGTCAGGCCCATACTGGAGTATGCAGCACCAGTTTGGAATTAACACCTAGTCAAGTACATCAAGAAATTAGAGAAAGTGCAAAGGTTTGCAACAAGACTAGTCCCAGAGCTACGGGGATTGTCCTACGAAGAAAGGTTGAGGGAAATCGGCCTGATGACACTGGAGGAGAGACATGATAACGACATATAAAATACTGCGCGGAATAGACAAGGTGGACAAAGACGGGATGTTCCAGAGAAGGGACACAGACACAAGAGGTCACAATTGGAAGTTGAAGACTCAGATGAATCAAAGGGATGTTAGGAAGTATTTCTTCAGTCATAGAGTAGTCAAGCCGTGGAATAGCCTAGAAAGTGAAGTAGTGGAGGCGGGAACCATACATAGTTTTAAGGCGAGGTATGATAAAGCTCATGGAGCAGGGAGAGAGAGGACCTAGTAGCAATCAGTGAAGAGGCAGGGCCAGGAGCTATGACTCGACCCCTGCAACCACAAATAGGTGAGTACAAATAGGTGAGTACACACAGCGACCAGTAGCGACCAGCGACTAATGACGACCAGTGAAGAGGCGGGGCCAGGAGCTTGGACTCAACCCCTGCAACCTCAACTAGGCTCAATACATGGTTTTTAAGAGCAAGTATGACATGGCAAACAAGACTAGGGTAGAGTGAATCTGGCAAGCTGCAAGTTGACAGGCAGAGCCAGGAGCTGAGACTTGACCTATGCAACCACATACAAGTACACATAGGTAAATACTAGTGAACTATGAGGGCCCAGCTGAACCTGGCCATTCAACTGAGGAGGTTCAGTTCCTGGTAGTGATATCAATCCTGAAGCTGTGAATAAAATAAAAATTCTGCAATGTTTTTAATCTTATATTTTACAGGCATGTACATGTAAGTTTATTTAGGTATAGATACACATAAATATGTAGTTAACACAAATTATCATACATAGTAGCATATGTACAGATTATCTAGGATAACATAAAAAAGTAAAAGTGACTGATTTCCATCCAAATTTCAGAAAAATCCTGATTTTCTTTCCACATCACTAAGTATTGTTTTAATCTAGATATTCATAAGGACAAGAATATTTTGAATGAAATCCTCTGATTGTTTTACATTTTAGTGGTAGTGCACCAAGCAACAATTTAGTAGTAGTGTGTTAAGCAACAATTTAGGAGTTGTGCACCAAGCAACAATTTACTGGTCCTGTGCCATGCAAACAGAAAATGGGCACCAAGAAAAAAGTGAATAATGGAATCTACCAGGAAAAGAGCATTCAGAAAACCAGCTATGAGAATCATGCGGATTATAAAAGTGTACAAATGTCAGGGTTTGACTGTTGTTTGCACTACATTTCTAAGCTGGAATCTTCTTTACAACTTTATCTTGAGGTTGACGTGTTGGACTTACCTGCAAGACCTGCATTTATATGCTACAAGGTCACTTGAGCCGAGTTGTGGATCAGGCTGCACAAGGTCTTGGTATTTCTCCTCCAGACTGATCTGATCACCTACAATCAAAGGTACATCGTTAGTTGTGGTATGTCGAAACCTCCATTTTTTTAATACCCTTCAGAGGGCAAGGCAGACTAAAATGCAGATTTTGAAAGTGATTTCGTATGAGGAGATAGAGCCACTCGATGTAAGGTCACTGAGACCATCCAAACAGAGTTGTGAAAGTAACATCTCGGGCAATTGCAGATATTCGAAGACCGAGTATATTCGGTCCTGCCCGTTTGGGGTATAACAATTTAGAATGTTGCAAGGTTGCAATTGTTGAAAAAAAACGAAATAAATATTTTTTAAATTTATTATAAAAGTAGACAATATAAAAAACATAAATGGAACTTGTTTCTGAACAATTTATAAGCAGTAAAAAAAAATAGAAGTAGGAACTACTTATCAACAATGACACATTGCAATGAGATACAACTTACAAATGAAATATTCTTGAGTTCCCTGAGAAAGAACAATCCTTTTACATCACTAATTTCTGCAATGAAACTTTATGAAACAATTTCTATCCTTCTTGATGGATAGATTTACTTTGCATGTGGCACAGGAAAATGAAGATGCGACATGATTATTCTTGTTGCTGCAATACTTGCATGTAAGCAAGTATCTTCTTCTTGTTCAATTTCTTCTTTTTGGATGGTGGCATAGCTTCCTTCTCATCTGTTGGCACCTCTGCATCTTGTGGCAAGTATTCATCATCAGTTTCCACCACTTCCAGGTCATCTGGATCTTGATCTGAGTCACTGTCATCCCAAACACAGACAAATTTCGACTTATCCTTGGAGGACTCACCGTAGAACAATTTCTTATTGATCTGGAAGGACAATAAAAACTTTTCTGTACACACCCAGACCATTACTGAATTCATATATACACTACCAAATTTTATGGAAATATTTATATACCGAAACTTAAAAACTGCACCTAAAAGGGCAGGAACGACTGTACTTCGTCCTATTTTGTTGCACTTTTTTCATTTGCATTGTGCACTCGTAATATGCTTCACAACGCCTTCATATATATATCAAAATATGGCTAAACTATTCATTTACACACTAGACACACAAATCAGTACTTACCGACATTGTACGGGGTGAAATGCTTCAGTATGTAAGGAGCACTCAACCGAGAAAACACGAGTTTTGGCGCCAGCAAGGTAGAAGTGTTTACATTCTGCTCTCTCGACCAATGGGAAGCGAGCAGCCGCCATCACCGCTCAGCCTGGGCGACTCAGGGAAGGTCTGTGATTGGTCAGAAATAGAGAATGGGAACCTAGATGCGCTGGGGGAGTTGGAGGACGCGCGCCAAAAACCACGTTATGAGGACCGACTACACTCGGTCCTGCCCGGTAAAGGGTTTTAACTGCAAAAATTTGCAAACTCTTGAATAATGTCCTCCTTACCAGGTGCTCCACTACTTTTCTGATGATTGTAATCTTCATACAAACTATGCATATTATTGACATGGAACAGTAGTTTAATGCTACCTCTTTCCCCTTGTCTTACCCCTCCACTGTCCGAAGCCCCAAAATTAAAAGTGTTCAGTGTCCACGTTAAAAAAAATCTAAAACATTAGAGAATCTTTTATTTTTTTGAAGGTAATGACACAAAAAGTATGATATCTAACAGAAAACTTGTGTAAATACAAAGGTGCAAAGTTAGTGGTTGAGGCGCAATTTACACACTGCTGGCTGTGCCCACCTTGAGTTCTATTTTAAGCCAATTCCATTGTGCAATTCATCCAAATTCTTAAGCTATTTCACTAGTATGCTTTCTGTTCTATCAGTTAAACACAAGAAACTGCCCATTCATATATCAAAACTACCCTATAAACTATACAGAATTCAGTAATTTGGCCAAATTCATGCAAAAATAGAAAAAATACAATTTAAAATCGGCATGCAAAATATACACTCTAGACATTCCAGGGACCAGAACAATATTTTCTCTGTTCATTAACCCTTACAGGGTTTTCATCATACTAGTATGGCTTACTCACCAGGGTTATTGACGTACTAGTACGCCTAAATTCTAGCGCCTTCAAATCTAGCAAGAGAAAGCTGGAAGGCCTACATATGAAAGAATGGGTCTATGTGGTCAGTGTGCGCAGTATAAAAAAATCCTGCAGCACACAGTGCATAATGAGAAAAACAAAACTTTGACCGTGTTTTTGTATTAAAACAGCGAGTTTGCACTGTATTTTCGTATGGTATTTATTGTTGTATTCTAGATTTCCTGGTCTCATTTTATAGAATGGGAGACATATTACAGAAATTGATATGATTTTGACTGGTTTCACAATGAAAAGTACCTTGAAATTGAGCTCAAAGTAGCAGAAATATTCGATTTTTACCAAAGTTCACAAGTAAACAAATCATGCCAAGCGTCCAATACAAGTCAACTGGTGAGTCTAATATTCTTTCACAAGTGTGCTGATATTATTTATACCATTTCTACACTAATGCAGTAGTCTGCACAACAGTAAATCTTCTATTTTTTGTAAGAATAAAAATTCAAAGTGGAAAGCAAAAGAAATATAAGGGGGGCCTGGAGACGTGACTAACGAACAGAGAACTTGTTATTTTAGTGCCAGGAATGTCTTTCTTGTTTATTCTGGACCCTATTTGGAAAGTGGCATCTGAAATTTGTGTGAAATTGGCAAAATTGCCAATTTCTATCCACTTTATTGGATAGTTGAAATTGGTAAATGGGTGGTTTCTTGTACTCATTCGATATAAAAAAATGGAGTTCTAGCGAAATAAAAGTGATTTTTGTCGACTAGTACACAGGAATTGGCCAAAAATAGGGCTCAAAGTGGGCGGAATCGCTGATGCATGAACATCGGCGAGATCGTTAACTTCGTGAGAGCATAATTCTGTAAGTTTTCCATCAAATTTCATACTTTTGGTGTCATTATGGTCGGGAAAAGATTCTCTATCATTTTATAAGAAAAAATAATTTTTTTTTTCGAAAAATTTTCGACCCTGAGAACAAGTTTAGGAGAAGGCCTCTCAACCCTGAAAGGGTTAATCATGTTCCCAGGCCTCTCCTATATAACACTTGCCTTCCATTAATCATGTTACCAGCCCTCTCCTATATAACACTTGTCTTCCATTAATCATGTTCCCAGGCCTCTCCTATATAACACGTGCCCTACGTTAACTCTTTCAGGGTTGGCAGGCCCTCTCCTAAACTTGTTCTCAGAATCAGAAATTTAAAAAAAAAAAAAAAAAAAAAAAAAAAATCTAATGAAATGATAGAGAATCTTTTCCCGATCATAATGACACCAAAAGTATGAAATTTATGGAAAACTTAAGGAATTATGCTCTCGCGAAGTTAGCGGTCTCGATGATGTTTACGCATCGGCGATTTCACCCACTTTGAGCCCTATTTTCGGTCAATTCCCATATACCAGTTGACAAAAATCATAACCATTTCGCCAGAACTCCATTTTTTCTATCGAATGAGTACAAGAAACCACCTATTTACCGATTTCAACTATCCAATGAAGTGGTCAGAAATTGGCAATTTTGCCAATTTCACACAAATTTCAAAAGATGCCAATTTCCGAATAGGGTCCAGAATAAACAAGACAGACATTCCTAGCACTAAAATAATTTTTTTTTCTGTTCATTAGTCATGTCCCCAGGCTTCTCTTAAATTTCTTTTGCTTTCCACTTTGAATTTTTATTCTCACAAAAAAATAGAAGATTTACTGTTATGCAGGCTACTGCATTAGTGTAGAAATTGTATAAATAATATCAGTGCACTTGTGAAAGAATATTAGACTCACCAGTTGACATGTATTGGATCCATGGCATGATTTGTTTACTTTTGAACATTGGCAAAACTCGAACATTTCTGCTACTTTGAGCTCAATTTCAAGGTACTTTTCATTGTGAAACCAATTAAAATCATCTCAATTTCTGTAATATGTCTTCCATTCTATAAAATGAGACCAGGAAAATGAGAATACAACCATAAATACCCTACGAAAATACACTGCAAAGTCGCTGTTTTAAACCAAAAACACGGTCGGAGTTTTTTTATTCTCATTATGCACTGTGTGCTGCAGGGTTTTTTTTATACTGTGCACAATGATTACATAGGCCTACCAGCTTTCTCTAGCTAGATCTGAAGGCGCTAGAATTTATGCTTACTAGTATGGCACCAACCCTGGCGTGCAAGTGTACTAGTACGGCACCAACCCTGAAAGGGTTAATCATGTTCCCAGGCCTCTCCTATATAACACTTACCTTCCATTAATCATGTTCCCAGGCCTCTCCTATATTACACTTGCTTTCCATTTTGAATTCATCATCACAAAAAATCGAAGATTTATCCTATTCCTCAGATAATAAATATAACTAGGAATGATTGGTCATGGTTTACAGTGTCTCAATAAATAAATCATATCTAGTAAAAACCCATAAAACAGACCAGGGTGTGCTAGGCGCCTTACCCATCAGGAAAATTAGCAAAAAATGAATATTTCCTAGAAAACACATCAAAGTTACTATTTTAAACCAAACACATGGCCAGTTTTGCTTTTCCCATCATGCACTGCATGGGGTAGTTTTTTTTTTTTTTATAATGTACACACTGTGCACACTCACTTTCATATCTGGGCCAAAATTTACCTCTCTCAGCTGAAGTGAGTGAGCTGAGTTCAAGACATAGATCTACTCAAGGAAGCCAGGCATCATTAATGTAAATTTACCTGACAAGACAATGAAAAGGTTAAATATTGAGACAATGTTCCTTTTCCCAATATGTAACCTGTGCATGTCACAGCTTTGACATACTTGCTGTGGGCAATATTTAAAAAGAAAACTTGTAAGGTTACAGTACATAAACTGAATGTAACTACCAAAATAAAAAAAAAACTTAAAAAATGATAAGAATAAAGATTTCTGACATGTTAAAGTATGAGCAATATAACCTAGCTGGCGACGTAGTGACAAAACTGACCACATAACTACAGTGGAACCTCCACT